GGATTTTGTGAACCGTTCCACCCCTAATATATATATATATATATATATATATATATATATATATATATATATATATATATATATATATACATAATGTCTGTGTGTATATGTATAATCAGGACCTCTTCACATAACCAAGTAATACATAAAGGCTAAAAATAATTGTAATATAAATGGATTTATTAGAATCATATTGTGTATTGCAATTTCTTTAACCTCTTAACATCCACCTCATTTTGCGTAATCCTCGCCTATTTTGCATACCAAAATGGAAAGGCAAATAACTTAGGAACCGTAAGCCCAAATTACATGTACAATACATTATTTGAAAGCTAACACCCTCTAGTTTCCTAATATATATATATATATATAATATATATTATTATTATTCCTATATATTATATTAAAATTGGCTGACTAGAACGCAGACCAACCTGCATCAGTTCAAACATGACTCAAAGTTGTTTTTTTAATTCTCGGAAATGATAGGTCATTTTTTCAACAGCAGTAATAAAGACATTATTGAGAAAAAACAGGTTTTATTGTATTATATTTGTTCTGCATCATATCAAACACAAATGCAGAACATTTCAGACCTCTAGCTATAACAGTTCCAGAGCTGTGGGGCTTTGAACTTTTGGTGTCAGCTTGGAGCTGCGTGCAATTGCTCCACCTGCTGGTAAAGATTTTACCAGTGGAATGTTATGCATTCTGAGTTATTACCCCCACTTAAGGTTATTTTACCTCTTAAAAGGCCCGGTGGACCTTTTAAGAGGTGAAATAATTCCTGGCGATCTGTAACACAGCACCTTCACAATGCGCAGAACTGCTTTAGTTTATGAAGTTTTAGAGCCTTAGAGGCATCAGAGAAAGATCCAAATAGATCTTAAGTATCAACAAAGATCAGAAAACACAGAGTCATGAAACATGTTTAGATGGGATTTTGTCATAGTTTATTTCTTAGCTCTTTTTAACAAGGAGTAAGCAGTAGAGAACACACAAACACATATTATGGGTAGAACTCCTCACCCGTATGTGATTAGCTTAGTCTGACATTTTTTAAACTAAAGGGAAAAGTAACTTTAAACTAAATAATTTTCAAACGTGAAAGATTTCAATCTGAAAAAAAGAGATGAACTGAAAACAAATTTTGTAACCTAAATGAGATTTGTATCTAAAAAATCCATCTATCCCAATATCTTCTCTTACTTTTTCTTCAGCATCACGGCGGGGCTGTGTGAGTTAAAGCTGGGGTACATCCTGGACAAGTCATCTGGAAAAAAAAAAAAAAAAAATATGAAAAGTGGTTGAAACATCTCTTTTGTGACCGAGAATTTGCAAATCATCTGTTCAGGCATATTCCGAAGCTTCGATGATAAGAGTGGTGGTCCATTCCTTGCCAGAAGACAGTGGAGCATCAACTGCTCTTTTACAACGGTTAATAGAACGTCAGAGTTGCAGTGGTAGATGTATTTCCAGTCTCGCTATATGTTGTTGAATCCAACGTAAGGAAGATTAAAGTGATATGGCCTTTTTTAACCAACAGTCTTTCTTCTGTGTTTTTCTTTCCAGACCACCTACAAGATTATGTTTGCAATGAGGAGGTTTTCTCTGACCATCAGCTCTGTGATCAGGCGAGGAATTTTAATTTGGACAAAGAGGAACCAGAATCTCCGCAGAAAAAAGAGGAGCAGCAAGAGCCAGAACATCCCTGCATGAAAATAAAAACTATGGTGCCCCCCATAAGTGCGCATAGACAGCAGCTTGTTCTGAAGCAAGAGACTGAAGATACAGGGGAGAAACCTTTCCCCTGTTTGACATGTGGAGAAAGCTTTCTGAAAGATCATTTAAGGGGTCACATGAGAACTCACACAGGTCGGCAGATTTACGAGTGTCTTACCTGTGGAAAAAGCTTTCCTCAGAAAGGTGCTCTTGATACACACATCAAAATGCACACAGGTGAGAAGCCTTTCTCCTGTACAATGTGTGGCAGAAGTTTTAACATTAAAAGTAAGTTGACTGACCACATCAGAACACACACAGGTGAGAAGCCGTTTTCCTGTACGATTTGTGGAAAAAGTTTTTCTACAAAAAGTAACATGAATGCACACATGAGAGCTCACACAGGTGAGAAGTCGTTTTCCTGTACGATTTGTGGCAAAAGTTTTACTGCTAAAAATAGATTGAACTTTCACATCAGAAATCACACAGGTAAGAAGCCTTTCGAATGTGTTTTCTGCGGGAAAAGCTTCACCTTTAAATCTGGCCTGGATGATCACATTAGAACACACACAGGCGAGAAGCCGTTTTCCTGTTTGATTTGTGGCAAAGGTTTTATTAAAAAATGTCGTTTGACTTATCACATCAGAACTCACACAGGTGAGAAACCTTTCGAATGTGTTTCTTGTGGAGAAAGCTTCATAGATAAATGCACTCTTAATAGACACAGTATAATTCACACTGGTGAGAATCCTTTTACATGCCTGTCCTGTGGAAAAAGCTACACCTTCAAATCTGCTCTTAAAAGACACATTAGAACTCACACAGGTGAGAAACCTTTTGAATGTGTTTCTTGTGGGAAAAGCTTCACCTCTAAATCTGATCTTGATCAACACTACAAAATTCATACAGGCGAGAAGCCGTTTTCCTGTATGATTTGTGGTAAAGGTTTTATTAAAAAACTTGGTTTGACACATCACATTAGAACTCACACAGGTGAGAAGCCTTTCAAATGTGTTTCTTGTGAAAAACGCTTCACATATAAATGTGCTCTTAATAGACACATGGTCATTCACACTGGTGAGAAACCTTTTACATGCCTGTCCTGTGGAAGAAATTTCACCTTCAAATCTGCTCTTAATAGACACACGATGATTCACACAGGTAAGAAACCGTTCTCCTGTGTGATTTGTGGCAACGGTTTTACCACAAAAAATAGTTTGATTAGTCACATGACTAATCATGCAAGAAAAATCTTTCATCCTTGACATGTAGAAATATCTTAGACAAAGATTTATTGCTTCACATAACAAGTCACAGCAGTGACTTCATATGTAGCAGTAGATGCCAAAGGACTTTTGATATGTTACAATTAGGGCTATCAAACGATTAAAATTTTTAATCTAATTAATCACAAGGTGTCTTGAATAAATTTTGATTAATCACTAGCCTAAATATTATTGAAAAATACACATTTTCTGTGGCAACTTAGCCATTGCTTTTTTTTTTTTTAAACAAATACAGGATGGGTGAATGGAACATTTTTCGTTCAAAACAAACAGCTTGACCTTTAACCAATTACATGAGGTCATTTTACCCTGCTATTTATTCACCTTTTAGCCAGTTGTTAAGGCAAACTAACTGGTTTACATTTTCTGAATGTAAAGTGGACCGTTACTAAATGCCCTGCGTTCGGTGAGGGTGGTCTGACGCATGCGTGTCGTAACAGCTGAAGTTAAAGCCCCAACAAAGGAATGCTTGGCATTAAAGGAATAGTACACCCAAAACATGATTAGCCTTCATTTTCTACTCACCCCCATGCTGAACAACACTCTGGAGTACTTTTTTGATATCTCAA